CCCTGCTCCCTGCTCAGCTGTGACTGCCCAGCCCTATCAGCCAAGCCAGCTCATTAGGTTAACCAGCTTCTGCCTGAACACAGGTTCTAATGTTGCTTTCACGCGTGACTTCCAGACTTGCATGCGCCACTGCGGCCTCCAGCATGGAGCGGGATGGTGGGTTTTGTCTCCTGAGCAATCCCTGCCAGCAGAGCAGTGAGGACAGGGCGGGCTGCATGGCACAGCGGCCCCGCTGAGCATGGCGATGAGGCTGCTCTCTGACCCCACCGGGCTGGGTTTTCCCAGGTGATCACTTAGTATGGGTGAAACAACCCTCTGTAAGGAACTTAAATTTCCTGAGATTCCCTTTCCAGGAGATGTAAGTTAAGCTTTGTTCTGGATAACAGCACAAATCCAAAGAGCAGTTGTGCAGACTAAACGTGACAATTGATGAAACAAATGCGTGGCATGGTGCCTGGCACACGGGAGCCCAGCGGTCTGGCTAGGTGGAGGTCCACCCAGCGTCTGCTGCCCTGGTCTCCATCACCAATTACAAGACAATTAAGCGCGGTCCTATGAGTCGCTAGTGAGAAGATTCCCAAAGAGAGGATGCTTCCAGTCATTCGGATCTTGGAGTTAAAGTTGTGAGTGACTCTAATCACCTTCTAATTGCTTCCCCTCCCGAGGTCCAGGAATCTTGGGGGAATAGGCCTGGGGCCAGCCCAGAGCTGACAATGCAGTCTGTGGCCACTAGGTCTCCAGAGGGCGTCAGTACCTCTTCCTGCAAAGCAGGACCCAGGGCCAGACTGAGTGCAAGTAAGCAAGACCCACTCACGTGGCTAAGACGTTCTACACTGGAGCTCCCCTCTGGGGCAGAGGTCACAGGCTGGTAATACAGGGCCTCTTCACCAGCCAGGCCCACTCCACCATCAGTAGCCTCACCCCTGCCCACCCCTATTCTTGGCATCATCGAAGATGAGGGAGCCATAGGGGCCAGCCAGGCCTTCTCTGCTCTGGCCGTGCCTAGAGAACGATTAGAACCAGGCAGCGTACCTTATGTACCGCCAGGGCATCAGAGCCCGAGCACAGGACTCTCCCCAGCCACCGTGGTGCTCAGTGAAGCCCACTCACCGTGTGCTCCTGAGAGACGCACGTAATGGCAGCCCCACCTTCTCGCTCGGACTCAGCCTCCTGCGCTTTTGCTTTCTGGAGTACACACTCCCCAGGGCCCTGTTTTTGAAGTCTCTCAGGAGGCTGTTTACACCTGTGGAATAGGGGCGGGGTAGACCCTGGCTGCTCCTCATGCTCCCTGATTAGCTGTGGCGGCGGCAAAGGCATCCTCTGTGAGCTGCTTAGAAATGCAGACCCTCAGGACCAGCAGATGGCATAATGGTTCAAGACCTGGACCTAGTAACCTGAAACTCATGCTAGGTACATGTACGTGCGTGCCCAAGATCCCAGAAGGAGAATGGAAGAGAAGGGATTGTGACATGGCCACCCCCTCTGGGGGATGATTTCTTGTTTTCTGTCTCTCCAGCAAGCGCATGCACCCTATAGCAAAAATCTGTCTTAAAAAAATAATGTAGACCCTTAGC